GCGAGATTACATTATCCGGCGCGTCGACGTTTCTCGCGCTCTGCGGCGTTTAATCTCGGTTAGAAAAATATCTCGATTGCTTATGCACGGATTACGACGTCCGTTTACTTTTTCCGCGGTCGCGCGGCATCGTCTGACAGCAGCAATTCTGTCGTCTGCGCGTTCGGAATACCGCGGCTCGGGCTAGATACGTCGCGTCCCGCGCCAGGAGACCGAAAGAATGCGAAATGAACAGGGGATTCCGCTTATCTCTCAAATAATGTCATCTGCTCCGTGACCGTTTTTATCGTGGAACCGAGGGTTCGGGAGCGCGTCGCCCCGAATGTGTCACGGAAATTTTACCTGTCCTCGAGGACGTTCGATCGAACACACTCTGTGCCTCCAGGACGGTTTTTCGCGGCAGTGTTTCTTCCGCGAAGAGATCCAGCGCATTCAATTGTTGGATTGACAGTTCTAGATTCTAAAATAGATTATAGGTGTTCTCGTAATACAGCCAATCGAGAAGGATAACGACGCGACCAGGATAAGGGCGTTACGACTAATTCGCGCGAATGACGGAAAGCGAGGTAAGGGTAAAGGAAAAGGTGGGAGGCAGAGTGGTCGAAGGACGGCTTGCCAACTGTCGTTGCGCCTCCTCGCGTAATCGCGGAGTTAAACTTTCTCTATAAATCACGGAACGGTCCACGGATTTGCTGTTTCTCTTGGAACGGAGGGAAGAAGACGCTGGATGAAAGGACGCATAGGTACGGGGACGAGAAACGGTTAGTCGTTGGGAATATAATGGATATTAATGTCGCTTCTATGCTGATTCCGTCCGTCTCGCGTGCGCGCGTCTTCTTGGCTCGATTCTACGGATCCTCGCCAATTCCTGGTCTCCTGGAAGATCCAGTCCCGGTTAGTAGTCCGTCTGTCGCTTCCTTGGAACCCACCCCCCGTGTTTCGCGACCTACCATCTTATCGTTCTTAAGTACTCTAACTTCTATTAATTTCTTTCCTAAACGACGAAACCTTCTCTAAAATAGGAAAATATTTTAATGTCACGTCGATGCGAGTATGTCTCGTTCTACTCTGCGTCTTTCCCTTTTCTCCGAGCGAGTTCCTCCGCTCTTTTCTTTTCTTTATTCTGTTTCACCCTCCTCGGTTTTCTTCCGGTTTTCTTTCTCGTCCGGCAGTTCGGTTCGAAGACCGCACACCACTTTTCCTGCGCGGCGCTTCCGAGCTCCCGCAGAATTATGGGCCTCCGGTTCCGAGGAAACGGGGCCATCGAGATTTAGGTGAGTTACCTTCCTAACTACGCGTCACTCGATCTCCTCTGGCGAGGAGAGGAGACGACCGCGAGGACGACCGGGAGAGCTCGTCTCTCGCGCCTTCCGTTACCCGGAAGCGGAATTATCGAGACCGCAATGACGCAGAATTTCAATTCGGACGTTTCAAGCTCGACTTATCCGACCCCATTTGTTTCCCGACGACGCTCGACGTCCATCCGTAGCAGACCATAAATTCCGTTACGATTTAAAACGACCTTCTGTCGCTGTTTTGACCGCGAACTTTAAGAAACACGTTCAACCCGTGCTAATAGATATTTTCATACAAGAAAGGGGTTGTAATACACGATACATGTGGATAGAATGCACATATAAAGTCAAGTTAAGTAGAATCAGCCCTGAGCCGTACTTGGTCAGACATGCCAGCCAGACTTCGTAAGGCTCGGAATACACAAATATTGCTTAACACTATCCACATTTTACTTATTTATTGATCATACTTGCAACTCGGGATCTCTTCTTCTTCATCCAATGCACACATAACGACATTTTGAAAAACTATTATACTACGAAAGATCTAAAATCTGATTGGTCAAGAAATATTTTCGAATATTTCTCAACAGTTTCCACATGTTTTCAACCGATCTTTGAACAACGCGTAAACAAAGATTCAGTTCCTCCCTTAGTGACGGCAAATCGGAGTCGTTCGCGAACCGAATTAGCCACGGGAGGCTCGGAAGCCCTTAAACCCTTTTCCGCAGATGCTTTCAGGCGCGGCTCAACTTTGTTTCCGGCGCTAAGCTCGCTCCGGTAATTTTATCGTTCGTCTGCCAGCCAGCTGGCCGGCTTCTGCTCCTTCGTGACAACTAATTTATTTGGCCGCGAGGGAAAGAGAGATGAGAACGGATCGAGAGGTGGACTGGCCAGAGAAAAGGGTTGCCCCGCGAGGAATCGATCGAGCACTCTTCCAGATTTCGCTCCGGCGAACCCTTTCCACCCTTCGTTCCTTTTCGTCCTTGTTCTCCCCCTTGATTCGGATGTGAGAAGTTTCCACGCGAACCGGTTAGTTACAGCGACCTACGCGAACAACTCCAGTGGCGATTTCGTGGGATCGTGATACTCGATTTTGGAAGAGGACTTGAAGAAACTATTTTGGTTTGTCTAAGCTTGGGAAGATTGGTTGAAATTCTTCACCTACCCTTATATACTGCCTACAGTCAGTCTCATAAGTATTCGTACCATTTATTATCTAAATTAAATGATAGGCTCGATGTTTTCAAATAAATGTTTCATTATAAATATGTAAATGGTGAAACTTTACTCTTGTATTGAAAAATTATTTGAAAACCACCTTCGACTCAATTCTAATTGAAATAATATTGCTATTTTCGAACGTTTGTAAGCCGGTCGACGAGTTTCAAAAACTCGCGTACAAGTGGAAAAAGCTTTAGGTAAACAAGGAGCGTGGTCCTTCGGCGCTTAATCCGAATAAAAATATCATGGCGAAAGAGCTGCCAAACAACGGGACATTTTTATTCGGATTAAGAGAAATCGGGGAGGGTGGTTTGCCGACCGACGTGTAATAACTTCACCAAATACTGCGCCCCAAGTTTACACGTACGCTTTTGAACGGGCCGGTACGCGAGACCGTGCAACATCGCTGAGTTATTGTTTCGGTTTCGCGAGATAAGCCTGTTGATAAACCGTCCCATGATAAACGTTCGTTCGATAACGTCCGCGAGGGGCGTTGGACCATTTTTAATTAAGAATTTTTAGCGGACTCCATTGGCTGGGCCAGACCGTGTCTCCTATATATTTAAGTCTGAAAACAACTTGGACGTGCACATCGGTCGATCTACCCTACCATATACAACTTAAACAAATGAAATTTGCCTAGGAACTCTCAAACTCAACACAACCTACAGAACGTCGCTTGATATAGCGGGAAAATGGATACGAAATAAACAATCCCTTCAATCTCAGAAGTATCAATTTCAAACGAGTCCAATGTATCCCTGGGTCTCTCCCGTCACCGAAAAATCGTCGATAGGTCCCGTAACGCGGTTTTTTCGCGGAAATTGAAAAGTTTCTCTCCCTCAGGTGGCCGAGGGCTGCTCTTTCAGCCAGCCGCGACGTCTGAACGCTTTGGGGCTGGCTCCGCGGGAGATGAGATATCAAAATTGTTTTAAAGTCCCGATCGAGTTGACAAGTGTCTGCGATGGCTTCGACATAGTCGAACGAGAAATCTTATCAACGGTATAAATCCTCGTTACGGACTGGTCTCATTCGGTTACCGGAGTCTTCGTCCCTCCAAAAATCGCGGCCACCCTCTCCGCCTTCCCCTTCTATTTGCAACATCTATTTGACTCGATTCAATATTTATGAAATCAATATTTTATCTCGCTCCCGTGTTTATTTTGCCATCGATGCATCACCGCGCTGGAAATGCCGCTTTGTAAGTCGAGTCCGAACCCGCGGTGGGTGTATTACGCGTATTGGTCGTCGGCCCCGAGTGTTGTCGCGTCGCTTTCGAGAAACATTTCGCTGCTTTCCGCGATTCCACCGATTCAGTTTGGTCCTCAACTAACGGACTGCTGACTTTACGCATTCATGATGCATGGTAATTTGGAAACGTTATTCACAGACTTGTATCTGATTTCGACGTTAATTAATCGAAATACTTGTTAAATAATTGAGCGGCATCGCGTTACACGGTTTCGTTATCGAGACATTTTCGCAACAAATTGGATAGTCGGAAAAGTATGTACGCGGACGTTTGTTGCAACGATACTAATTCATCGGTGCTCTGTAATTACATATAGAAAAATAGAAAAAATATATGAGATGTTATAGTTTATGCTCCGCAAGTGTATTGCCAGGGACACTATGCACGTCTTCGTGTATATTCGTTTATAAATAAACGTCAACTTATCTCAGCAGTGTCTCTCACGTTCGAGGGTCCTGGGAGACGAGACACGTGACGGTTGGCGTCTTTCCCGTCGTAAATTCGATGTCCCGCCAGGGAGATGTTTTTACTCTCGTCCCTCAGGTGAGACGCGATTTCTCGACTTTCGCGCGTCGAGGGGGTACTCGCGGAGCGGATCGGCACGTGGGCGCGACGCGTTTCGCCTTTGCGGCGTGGGAGCGATCGGTACGATTCTAATTGCGGGGCTTGCTACCAAAACCGCCAATAAGATCCGCGGAGCGTAGGTCGTTGCGTCGAACCTCGGCAGAGGAGGGGCCATAAAATGTAGTTTCTATGCAAACGACACGTGCAACGTGCCACTAAAGGCGTCGTATCGGCGCGCTTCGTTCCTCCGCGTTTATTCGCCGCACAAGAACGAAGTTAGGACACTATGCAAATTCGTGGTAATCGCGCGCTGGTTCTCTCTCTCTCTCTCTCTCTCTCTCTCTCTCTCTCTCTCTCTCTCTCGCTCTCGCTCTCTCTCTTCCATCGGCTCTCCTCTCGTCGAATTTTTCAAGCACCAATAAGAGAATGAGATTTTTAGAGCGGAGAACGTTGCTTAAATATGGCCGCGAACGCTGGCAAAATAATTGAATAAATCGGTCGCCATCGGTCGCTTATTTTAAATCGATGATCGCTCGTAACGCGACCCAGCGTCCTCTCTTCTCCTACCTCCTCTCTTTCGGCAAAACGACCAAACCGTGAAACTAACGCGGTATTTTTTGCAAATTTTTTGCACGGTTTGAATTTCGCCAAACGATATTGCTTACCTCGTTGTGTTCCTGCTTTTAACGCTCCCGGACTGCTCTTTTGATCCGCTCGTTTGAATACTCCTCTACTCCAGGAACTCGATAGGGTTTCTTTAGGTTCAGTGATCTGGCGTTGATTCCAGAGGTGGTACTTCTCGACCTGAAACAAAAGAGAGCATGTTAGTCGAAGAAAAATTTGAGGAAAATTTCTTTTACAATCGGATCGACATTAATAAAAGTAAGAGTGAGAATCATAAACAAAAAAGGACGACTCAGACGACGCAAAAAAGTAATTGAAACGCGGCATTTACATCTAGATATTTCTACAACGTCCTCAAAATTAATTCCTCCCCGAAAAAACATTTTTCATTTTGGCTTAGCGTGACTACCTCCTCCCCCCGAAGGAGATATTCTCCGACGCCATCATTTGTTACAAAACGTTTCCCGGCCGATCGCGATTGTGGATTCAGGGAAACGAGACAACGTCCGACGCTCCAAGGCGAAAAATTCGCGACGAGGGTTAAGGGGGATCCCAGGAGATCCCTTGGGAAGAACTCAGCAACGGGAAGCGACGGTAGAAGAAGGGAGGAACGAAGGGTGCAGGATGACCGACGAATTCGAAGGAACCTTTTAGCCCACGGCTTGGCAGGCCACGTCAGAACAGATTATCCATCCATTATTTCAGGGTGCACGGGCCGAGCGAAGTCGGACAGGTTCAACGGATGGGGTCGCGAGGGGGACGAGGGGGAGCCTTTTCGGCGGATTCGCGGATGGCTTTTAAACGCTCACAGCAGCATCGCTGTACTTCGAGACGACGCGCTCGATTCGTTTCGGTGGCTCAAAAGGATATAATTAATATCGTCGCTCTGGGTTCGTATTTGCGACTGCGCGGTTCCTCTCGCTCCCTCCCGCGGGCTGGCTCCCTCTCGGTCTCTGCATCTCGCTTCGCCACCCTCTCGCGGGGGTGGCTCTCGTCGTCGAGGTTCGAGGCTCTCAGTCGTGCCGAGAACCCGCTTCGCTGCGGGGTGACCTCCTCCCTCGGCGTACCACCTACGAATTTCGTGTCCGTGGCGAGAGTTTCGTCGCGTGGGACACGCTGTTTCGGCTTGCAGGCGCCGAATCGAGATCGTTTCGCGAGTTTCTCTTCGTTTACGAGCCGTGTTCTCGATCGAGAGTCTTCGCGTTCGATGCGAGCACGAGTATACCCGTCGGATCGAGTTCTCCTCTTTCGTTGTTGAATCGAACTAGATTGTGAATCGGGCCGACGTTATCAGGGGCTCGTCTCCCCGTTGCAAACACGAGAGAGGCGATAGAAACCGACGACTGTACCGTGGAATTCGTGAAGGGGAACTCGGTTATTGTAATTTCGAAGATCCACAGCCGTGGTGGCATCGCGAGCTTCGTCGAGCATGTAAACCATCTCGAGGATCGTCTCGAAGTTCCCGCGGGTTCGTATCCGAGACTTTCCTCCCGGAGGAGAGCGAGAGGAAGAGGCGGAGCGGGCGATCGATCCCCGTAATAAGGGAACTTTGCGTCGGGGAACGGTGCGTTCCGTAGGGATTCGACGAATCCGTGGAAAAAGAGTCTCGCCACCCCGAGGAGAAGAAAGTGGACGACCCTCGCGCGAAACTCTTTTGTGGAGAAGGAACGATCCTCTGGGGAGACCGCTGGAACGCAACGGAGAGCGTACCTAACCGTGAGAGACGTAGTCGAAGAGGCTCGCTCGGAAGCCAACGGCGAAAGAGTAGTTTCGCCCATCGCGTGTACAAGATCGCCTCTACAAGAGGGAAAGGGACACCGCGGAGATAGCGTCTATTCCTAGAGAGCCATTGAGAGTATAGCCGGCGTTAACGAAACTATCCATCGTCGAGTGCGTTACGAAAGTTTCGGTGGAGCTCGTGGTCGACGATACCCGGATCCACTTCGGATCGTTAAACTTTCGACACGCGGCCATCCGCGGCGCGCGTATCTCGCGGCGGTAATTAAAGACACAATTAATGGCCCGACAATTAAATATAATTAACTCGAGGGATAGGATACGCGGGCTTCGTTTGCCAATTAGCGCATTAGCGCCTTATCGGACATCGGCCGATCGTCCTGCCGCGGTGCTTCGGTTCGAGCTCGTACAGACAATAAAATCGCCGTAATCGTTGAGGAGGGAGCAGCGAGGAGGATCCGTGAAAGGTTACGCGATCCTGCTTTCGAGCCACGAACGCGAGACGGGGATCGAGGTGGCGCGTAATGAGGATCGATTAACAACCTCGGAGACTTGGACGCGTCACTCGACCGATCCTTATTCTTCCAAGTTCAGCGATTCGCGCGATCGACCGGACGAGATCCTTGAGCGGATAAGGAGCCTGGGACCGAGCGCACCGGTCCGATCTCCTCGTCCGAGTGCTCTTTCGTGCCGAAGCTGAGAGAGGAAAGCGCGGGACGAGCAAACGGCAAAGTTTTACGGGAAGACGTGGACTCGAGGCGACGCACAAAGTACGCCAACGAAGAGCACTTTAGCCAAAGGATCCGGGGATTACATGGTCGAGGGGAGAAGGACGCGCGGACGGGGACCCTGAACTTGAAGCTTCCATGCGTGCTCGCGACTGAGTCGTCGGATCTCGAGTGAACGGAACCGACCAGAAGGAAAAGTGGACACGCGACGACGGGACGAACTATGCTGGCCGCGCACTCGTGACAAACGGGGCTTCCGTTCAGGATCGAAAGGTGAGTCCTGTCGCGAGGTTATGGCTTCGTTAGTGGAAACGTGGGAGGAATCGGAATCGAAGGCAAGGACGTGGAGAGCGATTCCCGGGGGAAATGCCGATAGCTGGATTAATTCTTTCTTTTGAAAGAAGGACCTTCCTCGAGGAGGTAGGATGGTATAATCCATGAAGCAATTGTATATAATTAATATATAGAATATAAAAACTGTATACAAAAATGTGAAAACAGTCACTAGACCGATTCCGGTAGGTTTGGTGTTAATTAGCTATAAGTAGAACAGCAGAACTTACATCCCCCTTCAATTTGAGTCGATTAGGAACAGTAAGATCGATCCATGATTCTATGAATGTGCTAAGCGAGTTCCCATTTAAACATTCAAAGAGCCGTTTGGCTCAACTATTATAGGAAATTCTTTTGAATAGGCTTCCAAAATTAGTCAGATCCTCCATTGTTCGAACCAACAATGTGCAGAGCCAATTTAGCTCGTAGCGACCCCATTGATAGAATCTCCGTTCCAGCAAACAGCCTGGTCGAAACGCGAACTTTTCGGGTTCGATGAGACTGAACTACACCTGTATACGTTGATCTTAGTATCCCTATTGTATGTACAGAGTACAATTCTCTCCAAAATAAAGTCAATCCTTTCAATTAGGCGTTGAAATTAATTCTATGCCTTTCCAATGTATGGTCACATAACAAGTTAACGAATAAGTATTATTACATGAACTACGACTGTAAATGATTGAATGTAAAGGCAAGGAATTAATGTCTACGAATAATAACATTATCCACGATAAGCTTGCCAGAATGGCTTGAAATTTCCAAACGCGTCCTGCTTTCAACGAGGGTAAAAGTTGCCAGCGATTCGCGTAGAGCTTGACCCGACCCTCTTTCGTCCGAGGCGATTAATTATTTCGTCACCGAATGTCGCTTCAAAGAGGTTATCGAATCTCCGTCGAGTGCTTAGTAACCTTACGCTCCCAGCGTCGGAAGCTGAGCTTTAGCCGGTCGTAAAGCCGTGGAGAGGCTCAGATTGTGCGAGTCGGTCGAGCAATTTCGGCGCACCTGCGTCCATCGCGTAGGGAGTACCGTCGAGGAGGGAAAGAGGAGCCCGACGACGGAGGAACCAGGACAGAGGAGGAGATCGGGAAGGGTCGGGATCGCGTTATTAAGGAGCCCGTGTTCTCTGCTCATTACGCTATCCGAGGAGACCGCCTCGTACGTTCTGGCTTATCTCCATTAAGCGAACCGGAATTACGTGGATATCGTGTACTTAAGTGCGTGCGGACGCGCACGGGAATAAATACTCGTTTGTCCGCCGATGGAAGAGTCCCGGTGGATCGAAACGACGCGAGAGGTTTCGTGATAAGGTGCGAAAATTAAAGGTATCTTTAAATGTATTTCGATCCTCTAACGAGACTGCCGAGTTCTGCTGATTACCGAGGGAGAAACGTCACGGAATTCGTTCAAGTATGTCCGTAACGAGGCACGGATTTCCTGCTTCGAAACGATTCGTATCTCTCGCGCGAGTAACGCGGATTCTGACAGTTGGACAGAAGTATGCATAACGTGTTCGAAGAGGAAAAAGAACTGCTCGGAGGGCGATAAACTGGAGGCGTGCCGCCAACCAGCTCGTTAGACCGCTCGATAATTGTTTATCCTCTGTCAACGACGCGTTCCCCGTCACTTGGCAAGATAATTAATTAGCAGTCGCCCGGCGACGCTCGTGTCTCTCGCCGCAAACTGTTCGATTCGATTGCACTGCTGTTCTTCTTGTTTATTTCAGTAGCCAGTTTAACATTTTCGCGTCGAGAGTGCGATTCGATATCAGCCTATGTTTAAATTCTATCATTCGTATAGCAGACGTGTCTCGCTCGCAGTAACGAAGGCGAATTATTATTGCCGTAAAATGCGCACTGAAAACGTTTCAATTCTTTATTCGCGACTGAGTTTCCTCAGGTATTCGTTCGAGATATCACACGGGACGTAGCGCTTGAATATTCCGCGAGCCCGAAGGAAAATCCACGTAATCTCGTAAATTATTAGCGGTGACTTATCGTAAAAATTCCAAGCTCGTGTTAAGAAGCTTGTAAACAGGCACGGAGTCGCGACAGCGTCATCTCCGTCGCGCCACCTCTGTCGACGAACTCTCGATCGTAGTTTTCCGAGATTCCGAAACGATCGTTTTCCCGTTCACGAGGTTATCCGACCTCTTGTCCGCTCGTTATTTCATTCGCGGGGGGGCCGTTGATCTCCGTAGGTCGCGCGAAGGTGTAAAGGAGTCCTTAATCAAAAGCTTCCTGCGGCCGATATTAGTCAACGTCACGGTGGCTTCCTACCGTTGGCGTCATTATTTAATACGGCCGCTCGGAGTTCGCGAACGCGGATCGACCATTGCCGCCCAACTTGCCGCATAAATCATCGCTTTATCACCTATCCTTC